AGTGGTTCTCCAGAGGTCCAGACAGTCTGGATGAGATGGAACTATGTGCTCAGGGAACTGTCACTGCCTTTGCAGTTTGGTCCACGCCAAACTCTTCACTTGTGCCTTGTGGGCATTTTTGTCTCTCACAGTCTCAAGATGACACTGGGATGGTAACAGAAATGTGAGCAGGTGCACCTATTAAATATGTAAAATTCACATCCTCTTCTACTCACTCACAAGATGTATTTCTAAGGGGTGTAGAACGTCACCTAATAAAAAGACAGACAGGTAGGAGAAAAAAAATGTGCATTTTTTTAGCCCACAAGGATCCAAGTGGGCTCAGCACAACAGCTTTCCACTGAAAATAAATGCAAGCCAATTAAAAATTCAGTTTCTTTTCTTTCAGCTAATTCCTCAGGTTTTGCTAATTAGCAACTAATAGTTCTGTCATTTGAGCTGGGGAACATAAGGAAGAATATCAGTGGTGTGTTTTCAATCAAAGCATTTGCATGGAGGAATGAATCACATTTTCCATAAGGAATTACTGCTTGGGAGCAGTTGGGGGCAGAAGCAAAACAGTCTTCACACAGCCATAAAACTGTAAAAGGGACCTGAGCTTTTGGAAAGGCAGGCATCGTTTCTGGCCCCCTTTAACCAAACCAGCAGAGGCCTTGAATGACAGGACTAGGGGATACGAGGAACTTCACACAAAGATCCCTGCAGGGACAGCTTGAAAACTAGACTCTTCACAGTAAGAGGGAAGACACTAAAGCACGTGATTTCTGTACACGGGAAGAGAATAAAAGTTAAGTGTCGATCAGGGTACAGGAATGCTTTAACTATTATGTCACCTGCCTTTGCAAGTTTATAAAACAATAAATGCATAGCAGTAACTGAAAGCAGGGTATGATGAGAGTTTGAAATACCTGGCTACAGATGGAGCAGGAGTAGAAAAAGCCACTGAGAAATCTTTGGGCAGGAGATGGGGGTTCGCTCTCCCTGACTGCAAGAGAAGCGTATCAGGCCCCCAAATGCAGGCCCCTAAACAGTCTCCGGAGTTATAAACCACTAGTGGTTCTACAGCCCACCCCAAGTCTGAGCTATGCCTCAGGCTCCTCTGCTTTCTTGCCTTGATATACAGCCTGTCCACACACAGCGACCCTTCATGAGAACACCCCCGTGCCCCTCTGAGGATTTTATTCCGAACATATGTGGCAGATGTTTGAAGTGCCCACTATCCCTTCAGTTTTCTTTTTTGTTTCTTTTCTCTTTTTTTTTAAATTAAACCCGAAAAACCTAAAATATACTGAATTCTGCCTAACTGCAATTTGTGAAGATGCAACATTGCATACCCAAGTATAACAAAAATCTTGAGCAATAAAAATCTTACAGATGTCCTTCTGAAGGAGAAAAATAAAAGGGGATTTTTTTTCTCTCTTTTTCCGGTCTTACAGGAAGCCTACCCACACTTTAGAAATACAAAGTCAGTATATATAGAAGCACAAATTAGGCATCTTGAAAAGTCTACATTTTCCAACCACAGAGAAATGAAGGAATCACGGCGTGAGCTCACAGAGTCAGGGACACAGGGCTAGAGGAGTCTTTTCTTCTAACTGAGCTGGCAAACAACTCGAGGGAGGGGATGTTTCTCTACCTTGAATGTCTGAAGATCTGCAGTGCACATCGGCTGTGGTCAGTCTCACAGACCAGGACAGATTTGATCAGAATTTGATGACTTTTAAACAGAGAGTATTTTTCAAATACACTAAAAAAAAAAAAAATTCTTAGGAAATTGATCACCTTCAGCTCACATCAGTCATTAGCTTTGCTTGGCTAATTAAATCCATATGAAGTAAGTAGATTTTATCACCAAGTACCTAAAAAAAATGCTTGTGATACTGGTATAAGATTAAACAATCTTTTTTAGAGGTTATAACCTCTAAAAAAAAAAAAGTCAAGTCATATTCCATCTGAATCTAAAAGCTTAGTTTTAGCTATCTTTACATTATTTGATATAAGTAATACTGCACCTTTCTATTTTCTATGTTTATCGTTTGCATTTGTTACATAAAACACTTTCTGCGAAGCACTGAAAATGATAAGACTTCTCACACATATTTATAAGCTTTATGATGTTTTTGCTTACAAAATAGAAAACAATTATAATCACTCTCCTCAAGTTCCACAAGGAAGGATGATCTCTGCAAAAGTCAGAGGGCAGAATTCTAACAACCCCAAGTCTTTTCCTTAGGTTTCCAACCTGCTTGTTTGCTAATCTGTGTTTATGGGAGACAGCAGAAAGCCAGGCTACACTGAACCAGTCATCACTGGCACACGCTCAGAAATCACTTGGTTTAGAGCATGAACTAACCACCTGATGATGGTGGCACTGGTGATGGTGGTGATGGAAAAGAAAAAACAAAGGAAGGGGAGAAAGCAGGAGGAAGAGAACACCGCAGTAATTCTAGGGCGCTTACTATGTGCCACAGATTTTACTGAAGACTTCATTTGCACTGTCCCAAATTACACAAGAACACCAGGGCGAAGACAGTCATGCCCAGGACCCTTATTCAAGGGACAGGAAATGATTCTTAGAGTGGTCAGCACATTTGGCTAGGGTCACTCAGGTAGTAAGTGAAAAACTGGAACTTGAACCCAAATTACCTGCATCCTGAGCCAATCTGTGCAATGTGCAGGACTCCTGCTCCTATTAACCACATAACGATCCAGTTTATTAAGGTCAATTCAGGAAGTACATTGATAGTAGGCAAAAAATCGCACTTGCCATTTGGTTACAGACAGCTTACATTGTTTATAAGTTACCACATAATCTTAATACTGACTTAAACAATATACTGGGGAAAACTGAAGTACTACCATTTAAGGGTGCTGTGCCCTCAAAACGATAAATGAGTTCAAATTCCACTACCAGCTCTCCAGTGCCCAGTGTTAGTTGATATTCCACCCAGGAGGTGAGTCACAACAGACCACTAAAGAGGAGGAGGGTTCCAGGTGGAGAGAGAGTCAGCCACTCTGGTGACCTGTAGAGGACTGAGCCGGAAACCGTTAAAACAAATGAACCAAGATCACGCTGCCAATTGTATGCACAGATAAAGTTAACGGTTCTCTGCCCACTACCTGCAGCCAAAAGAGATGTACTCATCAGCTGTCCTGACTAATTAAATACCTCACTAATTAGTGGGCATCTGGAAAAGAAAACAAAACATCAGTGTGCGATGGGAAAAGTTTGTGCTCACACAGAAGGGCAGAAACAATACAGAGAGCTTGTGGGCAAGCAGCTAGACTTGATTAAAAAGAAAAACAGTAAGTGTGCTAGCAGGGTATGTAAATACAAGTAGAAAGGAAGTGAAAAGCCCTGATTTTAAAAGAGACTCACAAATGAAAATATAGCGTAGGAAACTTCAGAATGTGCTTAGAGAAAAAGCCATCAACACTATTTTTAAATCTTCATTCTTAAAAAAAAAGAAAAACAACAAAACAAAAGAAAACAACAACAACAACAAAAACCCTAAATGAAATAAGGAAGAGTCCATGGCCCGGATGTCTCCTCCTTATTTCCATGTCTATAGAAACAACCTCTGCAGCAATAAGACTGATAAGCACTTTTCAAATAAAGAAGCAGTAGCCGTTAAAAAAAAAACAAACCTTAGAACAATCCACAAGACCTTTGCTTCCATACTTCTGACACTTCTTTAAAAAACACCCTTCCAGGGCTGGGGATTTAGCTCAGTGGTGCAGCCACCTGCCTCGTAAACACAAGTTCTAGAGTTCAATCTCTGGTACCAAAACAAAAAACCAAAAAAAAAAAAAACCACCCCTGCTACTTAAAACATAACGTATCTCCCATATTTTCCAAACAATATAATCTGGTAGGGGGAGAGAGGCAGTTGCTGAGACTTAGGGTTGCTACGACGAGGCCCTTTGATCTGATGGGTGTGCATTCCCTTTCGCTGCAAGCCAACTAATGAAGGGATGAAATTAGCTTTTATCCTGGGCACTTTTCTTGAGCAAAAAAACATGCACTAATCAGCTGTCCTCACTGATCAGTCATCTGGCTAATGACCTTTTGCCTTAAAACACTAAAATTTCTGAATGATGTGGAAAAAGGGAAACACAAACCAGTCGCCCTCTCTGGACCTCAATGGATCATCTGGAATTGGAGCCAGGAAGGTTAAATGGCAAGTCTGAATCCTGGCAAGGTGAGACATCTGTAATTAAGAGCTGCGTGCTTTGGCACCTCAATATGAACTTCATTATCCCACAACCAAACTGTATTTTTTTAAAACTAGAAACAGGCCAGAAATAAACTGAATGCTTTCCCTTGGATCCTTTCTTTGGAGAAAACTATTGTATACTTGTGCTCAGAAGTCCTGGTCAGTTTCTTCAACTTTGTTAGGGCTGGAAAAGGAGCTTCCAAAGCCTCTGGTGAGAGAAAAAATTCTTCCATGTTAATCAATTTAGCACTGAGTAGCTAAAAGAGGTTTGTTTTATCAAACCACTAAATACAGGAATAGCCAAAATCATTAAATCAAAAACCATTAAAAATGAAAACAGCTGTCATTAAAGACTGTTAATGCAGCTTGCTTTAATTACTTCCCTACCAACCCATTTTTCTCCTGCAGCATTTCCTTGAACGGAGCCAATCTGGTTCCGGTTCTCAGGGAAGGTCCACGTGCATTTAAGATGAATGGACGACCATTCACCTTTCTGAAGGCCACCCCTAAAAGGGCCTGAAATGAAAAGGGGGTGGGGCTGAAATGGCTTCTGCAGGTAAGAAAATGTCTCTCTCTAAGAAGAAGAATGGACAAGGAGTAGAAGTAGGAAAAAAAAGGTGGAAAGAAAGTTAAGCATTTTTATAGATTGTACAAGACCAGTAATTCATAGGAGCACACGTGTGCGTGCACGTGAGCGAGCGCGCGCGTGCACACTCACACACACACCCCTCACAGCCTTCCCCACGGCTCCTGAGCAGATGCCCAGAGGCAGGAAGCACTTACGGTAGTGAGGCTCCATGTAACCATTCCTTGGGTCCATGGCGAACACGGTCCCGCGGTAAGGAACGGAGGGCTCTGCCAGATGTGGGAGGGACCCATGGATCTCCTTCTTGATCAGCGAGGCCCTTTCGTCGCTGGACGTTGAAGGCTCCTCGCTGATTTTGCTGAGCCCCTGAACACTCTGTGGCTGCATTGTGATGGCGTTTCTTCTCTCTCGGTGATAGATCTGTCCAGGACTTTCATCCTCTAAAGAAAGAAGGAGAATGAAAGATTTGAAAAGCCATATTAAGGAGCAATAAAGAAAAAAGATCCCTCAATCATCAGTTCAGTCTCTCTCTCTCTGCTTGCCCCAAAAGAGAAGCCTCTTTCCCCTTTCTGGTAACTGTGAATGCTACACACCTATGATGGGATATCTGTAAGACAAACGTGCCTGTGAGTGAAGGTCCAGAACACACAGGGAGGGATGAAGCAGGAAATGAACCTATTAGGCCAAGACCCAGGGGGTGGCCAAACCATTTTCAGGCTCAGGGCTGACAAGGGAGTCAAGGGAGCTTTCCACATGGATATCCCAATATCCCTCAGGTCCCACAGGTCCCACGTGGGGCTGAAAGTCTCTCCAGCCTCAGCACATGTGTGTCACGCTGCCCTTTGTCCACCCTGAGGAAACAGAGTCTCTGGGATGATGAGAAGTCCAGTTGCCCGGTGGGGCTGTTGGTGGCTCTGGGGAGTGCCCAGCCTTTGCTTTGTTCCTCAGAGGATGACCTATCAGAAAGTGGTCCAGGAGTTTCTGTGCAGTTTTGTTTTGTTTTTTGTTTTTTGGTAGTCAGACTTATATCCCACAGAGATGTAACAGAGGCAGAAATGAAATGGAAATCCCATTGGTGTCAAGGGATAAAGATGCCAATGGTGCAAACCTACAGAACCTCCTGAGGGGTGCTTCCTCCTTCTGCTCATTCACAACACCAGGACACCAACAGGAAAAGGAAATGAGACCAGAAGTCTGGGCTTGGGACTCTTGGGGGCAAAGGAGGAAGGTTCCAGTGATGTTGGTACCTGTCCACACATTTCTTCAAACAGGTAAGAAACACATGGACAAAACTCCATGGAGAGTTGCTATCCAGCTCTCTAATTCTTCAGCTCCCTTTGATCTGTAAGAACTTCTGGTCTATCCACTATGGCTTTTTGCAAATGTGACCAATCCATAAAATTCAACCAAATCTGATAGGTAAGCCTAGGGCACGTGGCCCAGTTCATCTGAACTAGTCATGCACACACTTTAAACTCTGTACTTCCAAGCAAGCTCTGCATTTAACCGACAGGCTATGCTCTGGCAGTAAGGGCTAATGGACACAAGGATGTCCAGGTATCACTTTAAACATCTGCTTCAAGACTGGTTTCACAGTCCTCACCTCAAAATAAAAACCAAAAACTATATGTGGAGGATCCGTATAATAATATTGTTGTCCATTTCAGGTTTGAACACACCTTACCCCAGGTAATCTTATCGTCAGGCTAAACATCAAAGCAGAGATGACCAGCTAAAAGCCTCCCCAAACCAGAAAAACTGGGCCTTAATAGTTTCAAATTCAGAAGAAAGTAGAGCCACACACACAGACAGCCCATAAAAATATAGACTAAAAATAACAAATACTATCTTGTGTCGACTGAGGACTTGAGCTACCTAAAGCCAGTAACAACTTCAGTCTTTTTGCTCATGTGCAGGACTTGAAAAACAAGCAGTGAATTTTTAGCCTAGCAAATGGCTTGCAAAGCAGAACAGAAATGAGGTATACTTAGGTCTTTATGCTTAATTTGCTGACTACTCTAAGGTAACTGTGAAATATTATTTTAGTATTGTTTTGTGCAGATCCTCACCTAAAACCTTATAATTAAGGCATACATTACAAGTTTAATCTATCAAGCAACAACTAAAAAAACATAAAAGTTGGCCTAACCCCACATTTTCACATTAATCTTTCCAAAAGCAATTCAAATTGTGCTTTTGGTAATTTTAAAACAAACTACATTAAAAAATCCCTACATTTTTACTTTCCCTTCTAACACATTTAGGCAGAGGTTCACCCCGTACTTCATTAGCAGTGAAGTTGCAGACAACAGGAATGGAGCTTTGCAGTTACATAAATGCAAACAAGTGTCAAAAACACTAAAACTTATGTCAGTTTTATAAAAATTTCTATTACCTACAAATGTACCAAGTCATATTTCCCACTAATTTGCACTCTGTGTAAAACCTTTGTTTGAAATTCCAACCTGAAGCGAACTTCGAGCAGAGCTGCAAGTTCTGTAGAATGGACCTTCATCTGGGAGCTAGGAAACCCTTCCTGGCTCTGACACATAATTAGCATTCTCTGGGAAAGATGAATAACCAAGCTTTACTAATCTGTTCCAGGTTTAAAACAGGATTTCCTTGACTTAATCTTCCTAGAAGAAATTAACTTTTCTTCTCTTAAAACTGCATCCCAAAAATAAACTCAAGTTTCTTTGAAACGATATCTTTCTATGTAAGTAAGTATTTGAATTCAACTTCAACAATAATTGAATAATCAGTACAGTCTGACCAGAGAGCCTTCCCCTTCCTTTCCAACCCTTCCCCCAACCTCCTTGGGAGAAGGAAGTAGGAGACATGGGAGAAGGGGTGGAAATGGGAGTGCCTGCTAGCCACATGATCTCTCCACCAGAGTTATCCCAACCTGTGCGAATATTAAAGTTATAACAAGAAGTAACCAAAGTTCAAATATTTCATACAGAAAGTAAGTTATTCCCTTTAGTAAAATGAAATGCAGGCGAGAATGTTTTTTAAGGTAGAAACATTCATCAGTCCATTTTACAGTAGTTGGTGCTATGACATTTCTATCTAACGCTCCCCTCAAAAAGAAAATTCCAGCAGACAAGGACTGCATGAAGTTTACCTTGTGCAGAGTTGCTTTTGATGCACTCAAGATAAAAACCTGACAGTATGCATGCTTCTGAATACAAACAGCTACCAGTCTTGAAAGCACTGGGCATACAGGGAGACAGAAATTTTGCAAACTATACTCCTGCTGCTCTTATGAATTCAGCAACCAATGCAGCAAGCCAAAAAGACGAAAGCTGTCTCATCTTGTTCAGCTGAGCCGAGCTGTTCAAGACAGTTTGAGAATCAGTGCAGACAGGCTAAGCCAGGCCAAGTTATTGACAGAAACATAGTGTCCACCATGGCAACAAGCAGAAGTCGGCTGCAAAAATGTAAGCAAACAGCCCACTGCTCCAAGAGCATCTGCCAATGGACTTTAACAGCCAAACACAGGGCAACTGTTCGAGCTTCTCTGCTTAACAGCTGCAAACCCGGAGGTCAAACCGAAACGTGCAATTCACTAAAAACTTCCAGGAAAAAAATGGGCTTGAAATACCATCATCACAATCCCACTTTTTACCTCCTCTTTTCTGTATATCCTTGTTCAAGTGCAAGTGAACAAACTTCTGCCCGCAAAGGGACAGCTGCCCAAAGCATCACGTTTTAGGAGCTGCCCCAGATTTTCCAAACTCATCCAAAAGCAACAGACATGGATTCAGGCACCCTTGGTGCCAGCAACTCAGAAAAATTAAAAGCCGCTTCATTGTAGACAGTGCTTAGAGATGTTGATCGAAAAGGTCTGGACAAAGTAATCCTGTTGCACGATGAAAGACTCAAACATACACTCCTACATGCTGGCTTCTAAACGCCTGTGCAGTCTGTCATTGCAACTGAGGAGGCAAGTTCTTTTTTGCACAGGACTTCAGAGAAAAGTTTCAAACAATTCTTCCAATGTAAAAACCAAATGCTGCCAGGCATCGCTAAGTAGGGACACCTCCTGTCACTTAAATAAACTGGCTAATGAGGTGCTCATGGCACACGTGTTCGCCACCCTTTCCCTTAACATCGATGCTAGGCTGACACCCCTCCACCCCCCCACCCCCCGTTACAATCTCATTTTAATACCATTACTCCTGTCTTGCCCCAGACCTGGAAGCCACGAGGGTAAGAGAGCAGATCATACTTACAACTCAGTGCCCAAGCTCTGGCTAGCTACTTTCTGCAAACTTCTCTTGGGGCTCTTTCTGTAGCTGTGCAGACCCTCTAGGAGTATGCACCTCATCTCAGCCTCTCTCTCTCTCTCTGCTTCTCCCTCTCCTCCCAGGCTCCCATTAGAGGAATTAAAAGTGGTTGGAGCCATGCTAAATTTAACAAGCTCATTAGTATTCTCTGCGAGTGCTTCGGAGTGAACTCTCCCTATTCAAGCGGCTCTCTCCAGCAGAAGGGTCAGGCGGCTAATCATTAAATCAAACTAATGTCACCCTATCACAATCAGCCCCGGAGAAGGAGGGTTTATTATTTCAGTTTATGCTAAATAAACGGTTCTACAAATGGTCCCCAAGCAAGGTCAACAGCAGCTTCAATTACAAGACAAACTTCACAAGAGTTGCTATAAACCAAGTACTCCGTATTGACTTAGGGACAGGCTGGGCTCCACATATTGCCACTAGCAGGATTGTACAGGAATGCATATTGTAAAATAAAGGAAGGGGTGAGCTTTTTTTCCTTGCCAGAATTTGCGACTGCACTCCTCATTCGCCTCCCTCCAACCAGCTACCCTCTCAGCTCAATTCACCCCACACAAAGGCTGGAGCCCAGACCTCAATGGACCGAGTGAAACATGTTCAAAACTAGGCTCTCTATTGTGACTGAATTTCTTAACATCTTTTCAAAAAGCAGAGAATGCCTTGAGGCTAAAGGAAGAAACAGGCTAATGGTGAATTGGGAATTCTGAGCAAATTTCAGAGCCCTTCCTCCTAGCTTTTGAGGTTGAAAGCAAGCTCTTTCCTTTCAAGTTTCAAAGTCCTTTTTCCTCCCGCAGTGTCACAGAAGGATTTGAAAAGAAGGTAATTGTGCTCGTAGTCTCCCTGATCAGAGCTTACGTCCTATTTCTGGTATTTCGGAATACTTCTTGCAATAATAGTGCATATAGCTCAATCCCTCAACCGACCTGCACTCTGCAATTGCTCATTAAATGAACAATTGCGGGTAGAAAATGCCTTTTATGTTCAAGGTCTGGATATAAGATAAGCATTCTAGGACTCTAAATTTGGTTTACTAAGGAAATTCTCCATCATTAAATTACAAAACTCAAGTCAGAATATCAGGCTTTCCCAGAAAAGTGGTACTCAGATTGCACTGAGCCAAAAAAGGAGGGCAGGAGGGGGCTGGG